AAATAAAGATATTTATAGATTATTCGAATTTCTATGTATATTGCGTGTCCTTAGTTTACTAACGACTTGATTAAAAAAGACAAGATTTTATATATTGAGCTTTTGATTTTTATATTTAATACCAGTTTCAATTGCGCGATTCTTAGTGTAATAACGGTTTGATTAAAAAGGCATGATTTGATCTATTAAGCTTCGATTTTTTTAGTTAATTACAGCTTGGATTACGAGTTTCTTAGTTTATTAACGGTTCGATTAAAAACATGATTTTAACAATTACCGTTTGGTTTTTATTCAATTACAGTTTATAATTATGTTTCTGGCTGTGATTCGTGTCGGAGCCACCGCGGCGCCACTTAATACTGCCTACACTTTAGATGAATTTGAGTTCTACTTGTCAGACTCAGAATCGAAGCTTTTACTGACTTCGAAGGAAGGCAATGAACCTGCTCAATCCGCAGCTGCAAAACTGAACATTCCTCATGCCAAAGCCACGCTTGCAGATGCCGAATCGGAAGTTACTCTGTCATTAACTCAGTTTGAGTCATCTCCTGACTCACTTCCTGAACTCCTAAACAACCCTTCTGATGTGGCACTTTTTCTCCATACATCGGGAACGACAAGCCGCCCCAAAGGCGTTCCGTTAACTCAGCACAATCTATATTCTTCCGTGCAAAATATCAAATCAGTGTATAAACTTTCTGAGTCAGACGCTACGGTTATCGTGTTGCCGTTGTTTCACGTGCATGGGTTACTGGCTGGGTTGTTGAGTTCGCTTGGAGCTGGAGCTTCTGTGGTACTCCCTGCTGCTGGCAGATTCTCAGCTTCCACATTTTGGTCGGACATGAACAAGTATAATGCCACATGGTACACAGCTGTGCCCACCATACATCAAATCATACTTGATCGCCATCTCAGCAGCCCCGAGCCCAATTACCCAAAACTACGATTCATTAGGAGCTGCAGCGCCTCATTGGCTCCTTCCATCTTGGCTAGGCTTGAAGAGGCCTTTGCTGCGCCAGTTCTAGAGGCATATGCGATGACAGAGGCTACACACTTGATGGCCTCCAACCCATTGCCTGAGGAAGGACCACATAAGGCTGGTTCAGTTGGGAAACCAGTAGGTCAAGAGATGGCGATATTAGATGAGAATGGGGTGAAACAGGGGGTGAATGCCAATGGTGAGGTTTGTATTCGGGGTCCAAATGTGACTAAAGGGTACAAGAACAACCTGGAAGCTAATAAATCAGCTTTCCTATTTGGGTGGTTCCATACAGGAGACCTTGGGTTCTTCGACTCGGATGGCTATTTGCATCTTGTTGGCCGAATCAAGGAGTTGATCAATCGTGGAGGTATTGTTTTACATGATGGGCTCATCTATGTATTTTTCATGACAATGACTCAATACATCCATGCATTTTGCACAATGGTCCAGTTTGTAGAAAGTTTAAGACTTTAAGCTATGCCTTTATAATTTGATCATATGACTTTTGTTTAAAATATCTGGCATATCTCGTTATTATATCAATATGCTAAATACTTGCTTTCTTCACCTCATCATTTTCTTGAAAATCAGCTTCATCAATACTTGTTTAATTTGTTTCATTATTTCATTCACGATCCAAGCAAAGTGGCCTTTTTGTTTGATGATGTTTGCATCTGATCCATACTGTGCATTCTGAAATTATGTGGCATGAATTTTATTTACCCAGAACTTATTATCATTAGAAGTGAAGTTTGGTGTTGCAAGAATATTGGATGAAGTTGCTATAATTTTAGTTCATATGATCATATGTCTTTTCATTTTTATGTCTTGCATTTTGCATGATCTTTCCTAAAATAAATAACTAGAGTTGATGCCATCACCACGGAGTAAAGGCATTTGATAAGACAAGTGCCAGCCAGTTATGGTGCATATGAAATAGGGGTAGCTTTATTATAGCTTTTTGTCATCACAATTTCGTTAAATAATTTAAAAGCGGGGGTAATACAGTTGTCACTTTTAGGTTTATGATCTCGATGGCTTTCCACTATAGCTCCATAGTACCAGTGCGATCCACTCACATTTTTCATCATTGTCCTAGCAGCATCATTTTTGTCCTTTATGATTCCATTGACAGCAAACTAATTGGCAAAAGGTGTTTCAGGATTTTCTAGGGCCATTTCATTATATTTTCCGAATGAACTGAGAAGGTTTTGATTGTAGCCTTGAGGAATATTTGCTTGTAAACCTTTAGCTTTTGGAATTGAATAAACTTTGTCCTTGCCTAGTCATTTAACACCGCCAATGAGGATAAAATGACTGTCCAGAGAAAATAGCCTCTTGTCAGCGATCAAGTATTATGGCCATACTAATTAAAATTCATTCAACAGTGCAAATTTACTTTGATAATATGAACCATGTATTTATACACACATCATAAAATAGTTACAATAATTTCTCTTCACAATTGCAGGGGAAAAGATATCACCGATTGAAGTGGATGCTGTCCTTTTATCTCTTCCTGACATTGCTCAAGCTGTTGCATTTGGAGTCCCTGATGACAAATATGGGGAAGAGGTAAGCAGCCATTAGTGTCGCAATCTCTCTTTGTTTCATAACCCATTCACAATCTTATATCTACCTGTCTCATTTTGATAAGAAAATAAAAATGTGTGGTCATCTCATGCTAAGTGTGACCATCTGCGTGATTATCGGTTTATACGCATGAGATGTGACTCACAATTTAGCAATTAAACAAAATGTGTGGTCATCTCATGCTAAGTGTGACCATCTGTGTGATTATCGGTTTATACACATGAGATGTGACTCACAATTTACCAATTAAACAAGTTTAAAGTGAAGTGAAGGATCTCCAAGTAGTTTAGTATTTCCTGATTTGACATCACTCCATAGGCCTTGAATATTCCACAAAATATCCCTACCACTCAAATGCCATAAGGTAGTGGAAAGAAAATAATATACAAAAAATAGAATTCAAATCCCTTTTAAGCCTGTCCAAATATGTGGTTGGCCAGAGGATGCTTTGACAGATGTCACAAATCAAGATTTTCCAATATTGTTTTAGAGGAAAAAGAAATACCCCGCTAGAAACTTCTCGTGTAACTTGAAATAAGTGTAGTCAAGACTAAACAATATGTGATGGCCAAGTATATTCTCTCTTGCTAGTTCTACCATATTCATAATTTGATTCGTTTAGGAGAATTTGTGATGGCCAAGTATATTCTCTCCTGCTAAGGTCCATTATGTGGTCTACATAATCTGGCACATTAAACATTTTCCGTAAGTCCTAATTGAAAAAGAAAAAAAAAAAACTATTATTTCCAGGGTAATCTTTTTATGTCACTGGCCCCCTTATACAAGATTGCTAATCTAGGATCCATAACGCCTTCTCATCATTCTTTCTGTTGCTACAATAGGAGTACTCTACCGGCCTTTTCTACATTTCTTCTGCCAACTTTATATCTATTTTGTGGTGAACTATTTATCTTTATTGGAATAGAGATCATCTTTTGACTAAATAAAGTACTAGTGTTTGATACTCCTGTTGGCTAAATGGTTTAGATGTCCATATTCTCTTAGGCAGCTGCTACTTTGGCAACTAAAAACAGTGTTATGTCCAACAAAAGCCACATCTTTCTTGCTGGTTGTGTATTTAGTGTAATATTCTCACAAGATCTTTATCTCTGCGTATTCAGATAAATTGTGCAGTTATACCCCGAGAAGGATCAAACCTCGACGAGGCAGAGGTGTCTAGATTCTGCAAGAAAAATCTTGCATTTTTCAAGGTGCCAAAGAAGGTTTTCATTACCGATTCTCTCCCAAGAACTGCTACAGGGAAAATCCAGCGACGAATTGTAGCGGAGCACTTCCTTGCTCAGATATCTACTGCTAAAGTCTCCAAGTTGGGAGCCTAAACAAGTGCTTAGCCAAGGGGAAATAAGAGCAACAGTCAACTGTCTTTGTTACTGGATTTCAGTACTCATTTTACAATTGTTGAAAAAGCCAATTGCTCCATTTGATAAAATTATGTGGGTAGGTTTTTAGGTTTCTTGATATATAATATATATTATTCTTGTAACCAATTCATTATTTTTATTTATAACTAATGGTAACAGATGATGTATTTACACGTGCGGAGGAGGGTCTGAGAGATGTGGCATACACGTCAAGGATTTTACAACCTTCAAAATATTTTGGACAAAATTCATAACGTAAGGATCTTTTGCACACCAAAGATCAAATGCAAAAACCTTTTGGGCTAATAAGCATATAATTGACAAACAAGTATTTTACTATTACTAAAGATAGTCTTACAATTAAAGGAGTGAGGCGATCAAGTCACCATGTTGGGCAAGTTGAGGAATTGACAAGAAATTTACACACGAACATAGATAAATAATGCTTATTCTATATACTACCTTTTAAATCGCACTAGCTAAAGTTAATCATGAAATGTTTTAAAGGACTTAGTGTCCAATCATCATTGACACCTTTATCATTCATTATACAAATCTCTCCACTCACAATCGCCTATTGTACACAATCACGACCATGGTTTGCAATCACTATCTGAATTTCTTTAATGCAGTCACTGATATACAATTTTAAAAGTTGATAATCGTTTATAGAGATAAATTGTGACTTGCAACTTCGTGTAACATGTGAAATGTCTATTTATAAATAAATACTTAAGGAAAGATTGCAGTAGTGGTTATTAACCTTTCAATTTTTTATAAACTTTACTCTAACTTTCAATTTGTGCCAACGAAGATCCCAAACTTGTGATAAATTAACGGTTAAGGTCCAAAATGGATGGAATTTGACTGTTAATTGATCAAGAAAGTCAAAATTTGACATAATTAAAAAGGATAAAATGATAACTTTATAATTTCCTCACATTAAATAAGTTAAAAAAATAAATAAATATCATCATCTTCCACATCATCCCCCACCAATCCCCATTCACCCCACCCCACTCCAAACAAATTGATCAACCCCGTCAACTACATCTCACCACCGCCACCATACTATCGCCAACAAAATAAAAGAAAAACAAACAAATCAACACCATCTCCACTCCAAGCAAATCACAACGAGCTTATCTTCTTCCCACCAAACATACAGTACAAAATGGCCACTTGGACTACTTCTACTACTCTGAGCTTCATCTCTCCAAATCCAACCAAGACTAACTTTTTCATTCCGAAGATTTCTCTCATTTTCCACTCCCGAATTTACCCGTTTTCCTAAATTCCTCATTTGGCTATTGGAAGCCTCAAGAAAATCAATTGCACACTTTGTAGTAGCATTCTTGTCTCCAAAGATACAATCCATTATGATGTAATCAATGATACGAGGGCACGTTTGGGCAATAATCGATTGATTGTTGAGAAATGACCTATGACTAGGTCGCGAGCGAAGCGGGTCAAAGAAGTAATGTGACTACTTGATCAAGCCACGGTGAACGAAACATTAATCACGACGAGTAAATGGACAAGTTTCATGATGGGCATGTGAGATGAAACATTGTGGATCAACTTGGTGCAAGTAACATGCGAGGGAGTTGCGTAGCAAAACTATGTGACCACATAGCATACCTATGCATGCAGCTGCATCTACCCATACCAAACCAAATTGAGGGTAGTTGAAGTGGTCTGTGCGACGAGTCATATTTATATGGAACCACCATGCGGCCGCATAGTACATTCTTAGATGTGATTTTTTCAAATTTCTTGCAATATTCTATTTTAGTTAAAACTCTATTTTGTAATATCTTTTGTTATTTTTAAGGCTTAATTTCGTTTTTAAGTAGGTTTTATGAGTTCCATATAAATAGGACTCATTCCATTCATTATAAAAAAAAAACACAATTTCAGAGTTATTATTGCAAGACATTATTGTTTTTTTCTTGTTCTTTATCCAAGTAATTCTGAATTTATCAAGATTATTTCTTGTGGCATTCAAACAAATCGAATGAGATTTTTGAGTCTTGTAATCGCGGGGTCAACTTATTATCGACGATTGTGTTGGTTCATTGGTTCAATATTTTTGAATCAAGTTTAAACATTGATTCTTGACTTTCTTGGGATTGAATCAACCTTGTATGAGCTTCATAGTTTCATTTGTTACGTGAGTTCGTATCAGTTGATATCAGAGCAAGACTTCAAAAATCAAAATTATATCTTCTTTTTTTTTTCGAATCTTTGTTTTTCATTCTCTGTGGTTTTCACGTTCTTCAATTTTTTTCGTCTCCAATCTATAAAATTCAAAACTTGTTTATGTGTTAATTTAGCACCCAAATTAGTTTTTGTTTATTTTCTGGTATCTAGTTGAGTTTTCAAGTAAAAAAATTGAAATTAAAAAAAAAAAAAAATTGCCAACAACATACAATTTCATATTTTTAGAAAAAAAAATTTCAAATTCAAGGTACACCTTCTTAAATTTTTCCTTAGGCCCCATTTGATAGCACACATTTTTCATGGAAAATGGAAAATCCAACTTTTGTATATATATAAGAATTTATATATATCCACCAAAATATTAAGAATTTATTT